AAAAATCAATCGGTTTCGATTTGAAAAATACAAAAAATTGAGAATTCATTTTGATTGCAGATTTTAGCTTTGAAACCTGAAATGAAACTGACTCAACAAACATCTTTCTCCTCAGTCCACTAACCTCTTTTCCAATTCCCATGAAAAGCTAAAACCCAAAACATAAAAATAAAAAATACACAGTAAATTGTGCAAAACAAGACTCAATGTCCCTCACTCCCTTAGGGGTGGATTCGAGTCAAGTCGTGCCAAATACTTGGCTATTCAAGCTCGACTCCTGAAATTGTGTTAGGCTTGAGCTCGATTTGAGCTAGAGACTTGAGCTCGAGCTCAATTGCAAGCCAAGTTTTTTTCTAAAAAATAAAAATTATATATATATATATAAATATTTTTTTATTTTACATACAAAAAATAACAATTATAAAAATTATTTATTATTATACATATAAAAATAAAAAATGTTTTTATTTTACATACAAAAAATAATAATTATAAAAATATTTACTATTATACATAAAAATAAAAATACTATATAAAATATTATTATATATAATAAAAATTATTTATTATATATATTTATATATGTATATGTATGTATATAATAAAAAATTATATATTTATTATACTGGGCATGATTAGGCTCGCGAGCCTCACGAGTTGGGTTTCATTGGGCTTGAGCTCGGCTCGATTAGCAAATGAGCCTATAAATCAGGCTTGAGCTTGCTTAAATTGAGTCGAGCCGAGCTCAAATAGCTCGTGGGAAGCTCGTCTCGTGGCCACCCCTTCTCTCTCACATCCTAATCAAAATACAACAGTTTTCTATCCATTCTAGTATTTTTGTTAACTTAGTTTTGTTTTGAATTTTTTTTCTTTTCTCTAACCTTTTACTTTTATGATCATCGATTAATGTAAAAGACTAAGACCCTATTCGTTTTTTGGTAAGTTACTTACCCAGGTAAAAGCAATTACCTGGGTAAGTTTTTCTTGGGAAACACTTGCCTAGGTAAGTACATTTACCTATGTTCTTTTGTTTCCTAGGTAAATAAGGTAATGGCCATTTTAGCCATAAAAATTCATTATTAAAAGGGGCATTTTTATCCCATTCAAGTGTTAGCAACTTTCTCCCTAGGTGGGAAAGTTATTTACCAACCTAGGAGATGGGTCGGGTAAGTGATACCCAGGAAAATAAACTTTCCCTAGTCCCCACATAAATCTGAAAAATGAACATGAGATTCTTGGTCAATAGGAATCAAAATCCCATTGACCAACTTCCCCCCTCTCAAAATCCAAAAAAAAACAACCCCTAAAAGTCTCTTCTCTCCTCAAATCTTTTACTATCCTCAATTATGTAAAAGTCTTAATCACAGACTACACTTGTACAAAGGAATGCATACAAAGAATATGCAAAAAAATGTCAGAAAACATAATGTCAATTTGTCGAATTGAGGTAACAAATTGAAAGTTTCAGATAGTGTAATTCAAACCAACCGAAACCTATGCCAATGTGACAATACCTTAGAGTTGGTTTTCACTTATTATTGGTCGATTTTGGTGGGCCTTAAAGTCAACCCAAAAATTTTGGTTCTGAAATTGAACCGAACTGACCCATGAACAGCCAGTCCTATCAAGAAAACCTATACACCCACAACCTCTACATAGATCTAGTAGAGTGTACCACCCTCCAGATTGATATGGATTCAACCAAAAGGGTGTAGAAGAAAATTTTCTTCTAGAAGAAAGTGATCATGGAGATGATCCTACTACCCACTAGGAGGCGATGCTAGACATTGATGACAGAAAGTAGCTTGAGGCCATAAAATCCGAAATAGACTCTATGTACTCCAACAAAGTATAGGATCTTGTTGACCCTCTAGAATGAATTGTACCTATTGGATTCAAATGGATCTTCAAGAGGAAATAGGCTCAAACGGTAAGGTGAAACATATAAGGCAAGGTTAGTGTGAAGGGTATTGTCAAAGGCAAGGAGTTGACTTTGAGAATACTTTTTTGCTTGTAGTCATGCTAAAGTCTATTAAGATTTTACTTGCCATAGATGCATCCCACAACTATGAGATATGGCAAATGGATGTAAAGACTGCCTTCCTTGATGGTTACATTGAGGAAGACTTTACATGTAGTGAAATCCATTTATAGATTCAAGCAACCTTTTCAGAATTGGAACATCCATTTTGATGATTCAATCGAAACATTTGTTTTTATCAAAAACATGGATGAGCCATGTGTGTACAAGAAGATCAAAGGAAGTGTAATTGTCTTCCTCATGTTGTATGTGGATGACATCTTGCTCATAGGCAACGATAATGACCTAATAGCATCAGTCAAAATATGGTTGTCACAGAACTTATCCATGAGGAATATATATATATATACATATACATATATAGGCGAAGCATCCTACATCTTATGAATCAAGGTCTATAGAAATAGATCTAGAAGGTTGATTGAGTTGTCTGAGTTAATGCACAAAGAAAAAATTTTGAAAAGGTTCAATATGGAGAATTCCAAGAGGGGTTTACTACCCTTTAGACATGGAATTCATCTATCCAAGGAGATTTGTCCTAAGACGCCTGAAGAGAGGGAGTAAATGAGCAGAATCCCATAAGCTTGTACAATGGGTAGCCTCATCATTTATGTTATATTATGTATAAGGTCTGATAATGCACATGTTAAAAGTCTTACTAGCAGGTATCAGTCAAATACAGGTTTACAACACTGGATTGTAGTTAAGAACATCCTTAAGTACTTAAGAAGGACTAAGGTTTTGTTCTTGGTTTATGGAAGAGAAGAGTTGAAGCTTGAAAGCTTCATAAATTCTGACTTCTAGTTAGATATAAATGATAGGAAGTCTACATTAAGATTTATTTTCACCTATAATGGTGGAGTCATTAGCTAGAAGAGTTCCAAATAGAGTACTACCAGCCTTGCTACTATATTACAACAACAATGATGGGGTAATTAATAGCCAAAGTAAAGGAGCCAAGGTTTCATCAAAAGTCCAAATACATAGAGAGGTGTTATCACATCATCATAAATCATTTGCAGAGACGATGTGGTTGTGCAAAAACTAGCATATGTAGAAACTTTGTAGATAGAATAATCGCGTGAAATCAATTATCAAGAATTGTTTCTATCGTCTCAATCACGTAGATGATCGATAGACCTGAGGCATCATTAATATCTTGTGTATGTGATGCTATAATTTGATGGTACAAACACTTATGCCCTAACCAATGGATTTAAGCATGCACATGTCAACTATAGTGTCTTATGCAGTATGTTAATGCACAAAATGGAATCTATCACTCTCCACCTATGCGCTTGAAATTGATGCGACTCAAGAAGTCCTTTGCCAAGGCAATATTGTTTATGGAAAGAGTTCCAATTATCATCATGAGTCATATAGAAGGTTTTGACATATTCACCATGGCCCTTTTGCTCTTTCGAAATATTGCATGATAGAACGATTTCATTACATGGTAACTGTAGATGAAAAGGTTCAATATGTTGAATTCAAACTATTAGGGTGGTCAAGACATACTACTAGGTGTCACTTGCAATCTATGGAACCCTTCTGATAATGATCAATTATTCACATTCAAGGGAAACGTAATTCAAATGGAAGAAGTTTCTTTTGGGATGCTAAAGGATTTTGGCATCATTTGCCACTACTTTAATAGTATTGAATCTAAGAAGTCACACAAATTAAGGGGTCTTAGTGGAGGGACCTAATTATAGGGGTGAGCAAATAGATAGGTTCTACCTAGAACCAAATGGAACCGATCTTGAACCGGTCTTTAACTAACCCTACCCAATCTGTTACATGATAGGGTCTAGGGGTTTATCCTACCCAAACTGACATTGTTTGGCATTGGTGGAACCAAACTTGCCTTGAAATAAACCCCAAAATACTTTGGAGGATATAAATATTTGAACCCAAGCACTCATGGTTACAAAGGACATGGTGTCCCACTTTACCATTGGGTTAAGTTATTTGATCATTTGTTTTCATTTTAATATTTGAATATGTAGGTAATATTTACAAAGTTTAAATTTAAATTATAAGTTTTGAACCATATAATGATAATCTATACATTAAGTTACTCAATTTAATCAATAAAGATAACATATGTTTTAAATTATATATTAGGTTTATTAAAAATCAAGTTTTTAACGAACATGCTTCTTATTTTTGAAGGAGGGAGTAAAGAAAAAAAACAGGTTCCATGGATAGGCCCTGGAAGTTGGAGTCAATCTAGAACCACCAAGGCCAGAACCGACCCTAGAACTGACCTTCATAGGATAAGTTCTGTGTTCTGCCAATAGAACCAGACCAAACCGACCCATGCCCACCCCTACCTAATTATAATTACGAAAAACTAATGAGATAAACTCTCCTAACTGTAATAGAAACATAACTTATGAGATAAGCTCTATAAAAAGGAGTGCATGGAACGACCTTAGGGTTGAAGGAATCATTTTTTTCTAGCAAACAAAACCCTAATTTAAGAAAAGGATTGCTAGCACACTCTTGGAGCCAACACCCCCCTCTCCCTCTTCCTTATTCTCTTGGGTCAAAATCAAGAAAGGGAATTTAGAGCTTTGTTTGTTACTGCTTCACGTAGACTTATTCTTGAAATCCAAATACTTGTGAGGTTGCAGATTTTAATCAAAACTGCATTCAGGAACTCCACCAAAGTAGATCAAACTTCACTAAATTTATGTTTTAGTTTTAGTTTTTGAAACTATGGTTTTGCACACCACCATGGGCATGATCTTGGGATATTCAAGATTCTATTAAACTCTCATTTTCCACTAGAGATAGATTTAAAGAAACCATTTGAATCTTTCAACAAAAACATGTTGTATTGGAAAAGAAATGAAAATCGTTGCCATCAATTTCTTCTTTCTTTGTTTTCTTCTTTCATGGTACATTGTTCCTGATAAAAACATTACCAGAAAAACATAATTTAAATAAAAAATGAAACAAAACACTAATATGTGTTATTAGAGCTAGTGATTTTCACGTCCTTCATGCAAATGCTGTGTACATGGCCCATCTACATCACAATACAAACACTTCAGTTGATGCCTTGATGGGATTTTAACAATTTCAATTTCTCCACAGACTTGGGATCTACCTCGGAAGAGTCTTCCTCTAATCATCCAAAGCTCTACATGATTTTTTGCTAGTAAATGAATTCATAGTTACATTTTATAACCAATGAATCATTCAAAAATCAAATCTCCAAATGAAGGCCCCAAATCAAATCATAGGTGGAGCCACGTGCATTGTATTGCCTTAAGGACACAAACTTCTAACCTTGTATCAACATATAACAAGACCACTATACAAGATTTACACACCAGCCAAGATCTAAAGCGTAACAGGCAGCTGTTAATTTATGAAAGAAACCAAAGTTTTCGATCTTCAGTTCATGGGTTCCTAAGTTCTGCCAACCGCTTTTCAAGCTCACCCACATCCGAACTGCTAACCAAGAAAAACACAAGAGTTTCAAGTATTAATAAAACTATCCAGTGAGCTAAAAATAATGAAAAAAAATCAGTATGATAAACAAATCAATGAAGATCTTAATACTGTCAGTGGATGTAGAGGAATGAAGGAAAATAGCTTATACAAGTGGAAGGGTAGACTAATCAGAATCTTATCCCAATGATGGGAAGCAAGTATAACCTGATAAGTCAGAGCACAGGAGCACAAGGATATGATCCAAAACAGTTCCCTCGATTAAGATAAGAATACACTATAGTTAGCACATTCCACACAATGTTGTCAAAATATTAAGTCTACAATTGACAATTCAAATCATGAATCCCAGGGGTCTGATCTGAATCTGATGATTGAATCATTTCCAGGAAAAATCTCACAATTATGTTTGAATCTTAAGGTTCAATTCATGAATGTCACTATTTATCAAACATCCAAATCTAATATTTGACTGAAGACTAGTTCTATTTGAATTTTTTTCAAGAAACTTTCTCTTTTAAAATCCTACTAAAATAAGACTCAGCTTGTTTATAATATAAAACATATTTAGACACTTGATAAGCCATCTTTGAAACTGAGGGGGTTACACGTACAACAATAAGTTGAGAAGCATGATTATGTAAGGAGATATTAATGCTTTTCGTGGAAAATTACTTAATATGCTTTAAGAAAAGACACTGACAAACCCCTCCTGGGACCGCTTCTACAGTAATTTGCGAAATTTTTAGCTTCTTCATGCCTTTTGTTCATCTACTGCTCGCTTGATATACAAAATGGCTAAAAGAAAAATAATACCAGGCAAGGACATTATAGACTAGGAAGGGGCAGAGAGGAGCTAAAGAAGCACAGGGGTCAGCTTACCTTCCAACATCCTGAGTCTTCTTTCCGGCAACTCTTCCTTTCGGAGCAGCTGATAACTGTTAAGGGTTCCATTAAAACCCAAAATCAGATTAAGAATAGAAAATGAACTAACAAAAGAGAAATCCCAGAAAATAGAATACCATTTATACCAACCTGTGTTGCAATATCCACACCAATTTCATCTAATACCTGCAAAAGTATAAAGACCAACTTGAGAAAGAGTTCACAAATAGAGGAAATGCATATAAAGAATTGATGAGAAGCATTTAGGTGATTATACTTTTGTTCGAAGCTATGTGCCTTTGAATATCTACAACAAACTACAATTCATCATCATCATCATCTATGCCTTGTCTCAAATCTCAACTATATGGAGTTGGTTACATCAATCCTGTTTCACCAATCCATTATTCTCAGTGCCATATCCATCATTAAATTATGGGCACCTGAATCATTTATTGTTACTTCCACCAAAGTCTTTCTAGTCCGCCCCTAGCTCTTCTATCCCTTTCAACTTGCAACAGATCACTTTTTCTAACAGATGCTGCAGATGGTCTTCTATGCACATAACCAAACCATCTCTAACCTCTAACAGCAAAAGGTGGCAGACAGAAGAGCAGATGAATTCTTTCCAGCTCCAAAACAAGTTACTAGTCTATGACACCCAGATACCTGTATAACAGTGCCATATCATGTTCAATGCTTCAATATTTAGTGTAAAATCTGTATCCAACACCTTTATCTGGTTAACACTGTTGCCAGTTGCCACATAGAAGATTTTTGGATCATTTAAGATAAACAACCTGACTAATGGATCCATCCCCTTCCTAAAGGTTTTCCTCAAAGAATAGTTTTTAGGACCAAGTGAAGGCAAATATAGGGTTTACCTGATTGGTCAGATCCTCAGTTTCCTCTTCAGCCTCATCATTGTCTAAAGCATCATCTATGGCATCCGACATCATCTCTGTCTGCATATGAAAAATTAAAAAGTAAGTGCTACCAGCTTATCAGCAAGCAGTAAAAGTAACCACCCTCCCCCCATGGCATAATTAAAGATTAGAAACATATTCATGAATGAAAATGCAGTATCTTACAGTCATATCTAGTTGTGCTGATTGCTTCTGAAATTCCATCATCACTTTGAGCTGCTTTGCAGGTGCCATTTGCTGCAAAAAAGAAATGATATTTTAACAAATAAATGACAAGAAAAAAAAGACAATGTACATGATAATCTAATGAAATATCGAGTAAAAGGATAATTTGGTACATGGTCTATTCCTTTATGTGGTAAATCTTAGACGTTGTTATCTAACCTTATTCATGGATGCCATTGCTTTACTTGCACCTTTCATGCCAGCAGCAACTGATGTATTAGCATACATTGCCTACAAAGGGGAATAAATGTTGCTGAGAAGGGAAAAAATATGCAACAGACACAACAAGTAAAACAGAGCAAATCTCATAGGAGAGAGACTGAGGAGGATTTTTACTGTACCTGTGTGTGAGTTGCTATACCTCGCATTTGAGCTCGACTACCTTGTAAATTAGAAATATTCTTTCTCAGCCTGACAAGTTGACGCGCCAGAATTTTAGTTGCTCCCTGCAGTTGAAAATGAAAGAAAAACTGAAAATAGACCATGACAACCAAGTCTAAAAGCTTCAGAAAAAGATAAAGCTTTAGGTACTCCTGGAAAATGCTTGAGAGATACAATGATCTCCTAGGTTGAAACGATCCAGTGAAATTATGTTGAAAAGCTACCTCATTCCCTGTTTTGGCAGTCTTCTTGATCTCAGCAAGAAGCTTTTTTTCCTGTCATAATGGTTGCTGAAGTTAAATGTAATACCAAATTAAAAATGAGAATATCATTTGAAAAGTTCTTAGCATACTTCCAACTGCAATGCTGCAATTTCCCTGTCAATTCCTGAGCAAGAAAAGCATCAAACAGAAATTGCTATGAGAAATAAGTATGCTTAAAAATGAAACTTTCAGAATAAGTACACAGTATAGTTCTAAAAGTAAAACTAGTTTGACACACAGTACAAAGAATGGATGAACAAAGGCCAGAACCACAAATAAAAGCAATTGCACCTACCTCAAGCATGGTGTGCATCACACAAATTAATTATATTATCTTGTTTCAGAAGGCACAGGGGCCATTGCTTGGTGTTAAGGTAAAACCTTGGGCTGACAAGCATGAGAACTTAGGTTCAAGTCTGAGAGTGGCCACTGTGCAAAATTTGCCAAACAGGCCCATATCCAGTCCACCATATATAGAGGACCAACATTGGATAATAGCCTGTGTTTATCCTATTCAACCAGGCATGGTGCTCCCCTTTTTTTCTAACAAGAAAAAAAATATTGCTCCATTGTTTTATTTATTTATTTATTTATTTCGCTAGGAGGTAGTTTTGTAACTAGAATTAAGTGTTTATCTCGATCTCTCCAATAAAGAATTAATCATCCTACACACTCATTCAAACGCACACACACACACAAACACATAGAAGCTGACCCTTATCTGCATCAAGATGACCAAGCTAAGATGAATGCTGAAACCACACCAAATTGAATCCGAATAATTAGTTCCTCCATTTTAACAAGCGCGGAATATAAGATTTTAAGTAACAGAGGCTATTGGCACACTCCAAAATCCAATTAAAGAAACCAAATTATGCCCAATCAACTAGTTCTCTCTGACAATGTTAAGTGCAAGAATTTGCAATTTTTTTATCAGTGCCAACATCAAAGAGATTCTATTCATATCAGCAAGCAGAAATGAAATTTTCTAAAATGAGAAAGCTTAACCTAGCCAACTATGGTTTTCTACAAAAAGAATAGTACTGAAAATCCAAGCCCTCATCCTTCCTAAGGTTCTTCAGATAAGAACAGAAAGGAAAAACCTTAATAAAAAAAAGGCAAACTCGCCCTCAAGAACCTTCTGTCACTTCTAAAAAAAATGTCCGGATTATTTTCAGTGGCTCTTTTAAGTTCTAACTAATTAGTAAGAATTTTACCAATGAATTCCTTCTATTTCTAGCATCCCATAAGTTCAACGTGTAATTGATCGAAAGTGCATATATCCATATATGCAACGCTGAAACTAATGTCGCAAGCGAAAAAACAAATTCTCGCTTTTCAATAATAATAAAAAAAAAACTAATTGTAAACAAATTATACCTCGCGTAGCATTCGCCATTTCTCTCTTACTTTCTCGAAGTACCTCTGCAACCACACAGCAGAAAAGTAGGTCAACTAACAGAACCAAATCAGAACTTCAAACAAATAGAATCGAGACACGACAACATCACGAAAGTAGAAACAACGAAATCAAATTGAGAGTTAATAATAACAGAATTAACAAAAAATGAAATTAACCACAAAGTTAAATGGAAAATTTTGCAGAACAGATAAAGCTGGTGGACAAGAAAACATAGGGAAACTAGAAAACAAACCTTTGGCTGTGGGTTTTTTCGTGAAGATATTCATGGTTTCTCGATCCGAATTCTGCAGCAAATTGAGATGGTTAAAGGGAAAAAATCGAATTTTAATTTGGAGATTTTGAGTGATATGGTGAGAGAACCGCCGGGGTGACGGAAAGAAAGATCGCTGCTGATTTGAAAATGGAAGGATACTGGATTCTCTCTTTTGACGACGTGACACGCGTCAACTCGAAAACCGAAAAGTTGACCCGGAGATTGACCCGAGCTCGAAGACTGGATGCATTTAATCGGTTCATTTGACCATTGAGTTACATATAAGTTATTTTGATCATTTGTTTTTATTTGAATACTTGAATATATTCAATAAAAAAAGTAAAAGTAATAATTACAAATTTTAAATTATAAGTTTTGAATTATTAAATTACAAAATTTAATAAATAAAGATAATATAAATTTTAAATCATATATTATATTTATTGAAATTCAAGTTTTAAAGAATATGTATTTTTTTTAATCAATTCTTATAGGATAGTTTTCAAGTTTTGCCATAAAACCAAATCAAATCAACCCATGCTCACCCCTAGACATGATATCGAAAAAAATTTATAACCATCCATTCAAATGGAGTCTGAGCATCCTGTCAATAAAAATACCTTGCACATTATCGATGCACATCCCATACATGGTGGATCCCACTTTTATGATAGGCCTTAGCCTCATGATGAGATGTGTTAGATTGTGTTGAAAAGGTGTTAGAACGTATTTCACTCGCAAGAGATCCCATTGGTCTTGGATATTTTGCAGCTTGTTATACCTTTAAACATCTCTTTCTCTTTTGTGCGTTGATTGGCTAATGGAGCAGAGCATACAGTTGCTATGTTGGATTTCACTTCTAATCAGAAGGTGGTATCCAATCCTTTTTTTGTTGGATTCAGAAAACTGTTTATTGGATTTTCGGATTTGATAATGGGATCCGATTGAAAATTGGATTGAACTTGAATCACCCCCTATCTGATTCAAAAGGATTCTATTTATTTTGTTGTATATGTAAACATATTTATTTATAAAAAAGGCATGTATATATTAATATATTTATAAAAACATTTATTTATAAATATTTATATTGTTTTTTGTAAATATTTTATAAAAAGATATGTATATATTTATATATATGATGAAAATAATTGAAAAATACTTATATTTTTATTTTTTTATATAAATTGTTATATTTGTTTTAATAATTTATAAAATTTACAGAATTTGAATCAGATCAATCATATTCACATATCTGACATCCTTAACAAATTCAAATTTAAACCGCCATTTATGAGATCCGATTAAATCTTCAAATCAGATTGGATCTAAAATGTATTATCGGATCAGATCCAGCCTGATTCGAATCCGATCCATTTGCGTTTAGTAGTCGTAGTTAGATAGTTTGTTTCTGTTGTTTTTGTCGGTTTGTGTTGTTTGTTTGTTTTCTTTGGCATCATATCTTTCCGGCATTTAAGCATAAATTAGCTTTGGAAGCTATCAATACGTTAAGCTTCATATTAGGCACTGTAGACCATCCAATAAAGCCATTGAATTTGATTCTTTTGTCCTAATTGACAAGAAAGACCATAAAGTGAAATCCTGGTTAGACATAGATCCACGAGGCATCATCTATCAAGCGTTAATACTAAGAGGTCCTGATCGGACGCTTCACCGTTAGCCCGGTGGCTGTGGGACCTCCTTCCATCAAATCCAACCAAGGTCAGCATCTAATGTGGAAACATTGACTTGACTGAACTCTTTGTTTTTCTGCTAGGCAGAGAATGAGAGGAGAGTCAAGTCAAGGTTATATATATAGAAAAAAAAAAAAGGTGAGGGGCTACACAAGACGGGGGTAGTCCTTCCCCAGGAATCAAAAAAAACAAATTTGTCTTAGATCTGTTGGGACTGAACCTTAAGTAGAAGGAGTGTTGCTTGCTAGTCAATTCAGTGCCTGGTTTGCCTCGTAATAGGTATGCTAGAAGGAGATGCTTGAACTAAATTCGGTCTTAAGGCAAAGAAACTCACTAATGATACTTTCCAATCTCCACGAGAGCTTTACTCTCTCCTTGAGGCAGTCAACCACGAGCTTTGAGTTTTCTTCAACAATGATAGAGAATCTTTAAAATTCAGAGCAATATTGATGGCTCCCCAAACACACCAAAAGGCAAAAGCTAACATTTGGGCTTAAACGAATTTATTGGTTCAAGCCAAAGGCCCAATTATTGCCAAAAAAGTCAAAGGCCCAAAAAGCCCACTCAAGAACCTGCACCAAATACAGCCTTGGAATAAATCAAGTTTCATACAAAAACCATGGTTACTGATAGGTAACCTCAATGACATAATTTCGTGAAAAGATTAGAAAGGAAGAAATCTGAGGAGAGAGAAAATATCAAGTCAAGTAAATCAATCGATAGCAGATTTTGGTCTACAAGATCTGGAACTTGTAGGACAACCTTTTACATGATCTGATAATCAAGATGGAGGAAGACTTGTAAAGATATAATAGGGCTTGGAGGCAGGAAGTTGTGAGAATGGAAGCTTTCAAAATAATGGCCAAATTGGGAAAAAAAATGATAGATGAGACCATGCTTTTGAAAACGGACTGGACTGGACGGTCGGATCAGTCAATCCAGGAATTGTCTAGACAATCGGTTTTGTTTCACCCTAAAATTTTTTCTAGGCCAAAAAGTATTGACTTGGTCAGTGATTACTGGCCTGGGTGGTTGAACCATTGACCCATCGATCTAAATTATATTTTTGGCTACTTTTTATTTTAATTATTTTTTTTAAATTAAAATGGGCTTTACGTTCAAATCATATGGTCAGACCATTTAACCCAGAAATCAGTGGCCAAAACAGTTCCTTGTCTGGTCCAATTTTTAAAACCTTGGATGAAACTGAAAGAATGGAACAAAAACATTTCCGTTGCATACAAACAAGGATATAAAGGATAGAACAGGAGATAGAAAGAATACAACAAGCAAATCTTATGGAGGATCACAAATTTGAAATTGAAAGACTGAAGAAAGAATACAATGATTGGCTATATGGAGAGGAGTATGTGTGGAAACTTAAGTCAAGAAAACTATAGCTGATAGGAGGAGATCCATATACAAGATATTTTCACCAAATGACAAAGTTTAAAAGGAGAATGAACTCAATGAAATGTATAAAAGGTAAAGATGGGAGATGGGCCAATTGTAGAAAAGAAATAGAAGAAGTCCTTAAGATTGCGTTTGGAAACGATGCAAATGGAGTGTAAATCCCAGTTTAGGGTACATTTGCACTCTGGCTCACTTTTGTCTGTGTTTGGCAACATTACATTTATGCATTGACAAATGAAAGATCAATGCATATTTACATTGATAATAAGATGTAAAAATACATCAATAAAAAAGAAGTAAATTTTTATTCAAGTGGGCTTTTGATAAAAAAAAAAAGCATATGCTTTATTGGAATTCATGTTTGCATCCGTTACAGCTAAAAGTCTTTTGGTAAGATGGTAAATTTGTCAATGGAAAACTAACCCTATTTGGCAATTTATATGAACCGTTTTACACTATACATATTTGCATTCACACTTATTTGCATCTTTTCCAAACACAGCCTAAGGAGGATTTACAAGCCACCATTGGGACATATGGCTGTGTTTGGAAACGATACAAATAAGTGTGAATGCAAATACGTAGAGTGTAAAATTGTCCATATAAATTGCAAAGTTGGGTTAGTTTTGCACTAACAAATTTACCTTCTTACCAAACAGACTTTTAGTTGTACTGGATGCAAACACAAATTCTAATAAAGCATATGCTTTTTTTTATCAAAAGTCCACTTGAATGCAAATTTACTTCTTTTTTATTGATGTACTTGTATATCTTATTATCAATGTAAATATGCATTGAAAAATGTGTTTTCTGTCATTTGTCAATGCATAAATGTAATGTTAACAAACACAGGCAAAAGTGAACCAGAGTGCAAATTTACCCTAAACTGGGATTTACACTCCATTTGCATTGTTTCCAAACGCACCCTATGGTAAAATAGGGGTGCTAAACCACTTTAATCACATTGAACTGCCAAGATTGATAAAAGAACAAGTTACTGCATTAGAAAGCCTACCAATAGAGAAGAGATATGCAAGCAATACAACAAATGAATCCACATAAAGCCCCTGGATCCGATGGATTCACTCCATATTTCTATCAAAAATATCCGCATGTGGTGGGTCCAAAGGTGTATAAAAGATTTTCCCTAATGAATCAATGATAGAGGAGATGAATAGTACAAAATAATCTTCATTCCCAAAAAAAAAAGTATGAGAATCTTCTAACCAATATAGGCCAATAAGTCTTTGCAACACAATATATAACATTATTATCAAATAAATGGCCAAAAGAATGAAACAAATACTTCCAAAAAGCTAATCTCTCCACATCAAGCAGGTTTCTTGCCAAGAAGACAAATAATTGACAACATTATTCTTGCTAGGGAAGCTGTGCATAAAATGCATAAAACAAGGAAAAAAATTGGATGAATAGCAATAAAACTAGATATGTCAAAGGCTTATGGAAGGCTCGGTTGAGGTTTCTAAAAAGGATAATGGAGAAAATGAGTTTCCTAGAAAAATGGTGTAATTTGGTTTACAAATGCATCTGAACAACTTCTCAGTTCTTCAAGATACAATGAGAGGTTGGGGGAAACATCAAATTATGTAGAGATATTACACAAGGGGACCCAATTTACCCTTACCTATTCGTAATAGGGATGCAAGTGTTATCAAGAATGTTGGAATAGATAGAGAAGGAAAAAATTAATGGAGTCAAACTAGGGAGAAATGAGATTAACATAACACATTTGTAGTTTGTAGATAATTGTTTCCTATTTTGCCAAGCTAAGTCTAAGTAGTTGAAAGTTTCGAAGGATCTATTGCTTAATTTTGATAAAATTTCAGGTGAAAAGATATGTCTACAGAAGTCTAGCTTATACTTCAACTTGAACATCCAGTACAAGCATAAAAGGTGGTTTTGCACTTAATGGCATCGAAGACAATGAAGGGTCAAGAAGAATATTTAGGCATCAAGATCCAACAAAATATGTTCTAAGTTGAATCTTTTTAGGGACATAG